CCCAGGACCAGTGGAGAGGGTGGCGATGGCGGGAGGGTGGAGGGAAGGTGAGGGAGACAGGGGGAACAGATGACAAGGTCTGCATATGGCTTCCTCCCTGGGGGACAGACAGCAGAGAAGTGGGTGAGGGAGACGTTGGATGGGGTAAGATATGATAAAATAATAATAATTTATAAATTATCAGGGGAAGGGGGGAGCAGGGAGGGAGGGGAAAAAAATGAGCTGACACCAAGGGCTCAAGTGGAAAATGGGTGTTGTAAGAATGATGAAGTCAACATATGTCCTAATGTGCTGGACAAAAATGACATATGTACAGATTGTGATGAGTTGTATGAGCCCCTAATAAAATGATTATTTAATAAAAATAAAAAAAAGATGAACTGGAAAAACTGTGTGATGGATATACTTACAACCACCATCACCACCGAAAAATAAGGAACTGCTTAAGCTGCCACATACAACCAAACACCTCATGAGCTTGGCTTCTCGGTTTGGAGATTTTGAGTCATAATTAACTGGTCTAATAATACTTTTAGTGCACCTGTCCTACCTCCTAGTTCACTGTGTAGTAGGTGAGGTTTTAAAATTTTTTAAGCAGATATCCAAGATACAACACTATTCACCTGGAGCTATTACGGAAGAAAGGCATTCAGGAATAGGAAGAGGATATAGAATGTGTGGCTAACTGTCTCCATGAACAACTGGCTCCTTCGCCATAAGAACAGAAGAATTGGAGAGAATCCACAGGTATCATTACTGAACATTCAGATCAAAGTCTCCAAAGAAGAATCCAAATCAAAAGAGGAAAAGTAAAGTATTAAATTTCAAAGTCTCATGGATTCTAGACTTTCTGGAGCCATGAAAGGTGGATGAACTGCTGAAACGACTGGTCTGAGATCATCTTTAAACCTTGAAACAAAGGTGTTCCCATTCTTAAAACCAAACAACAAGAAGAGGAGCTGATACCAAGGGCTCAACTAGAAAGAAAATTGTTTTGGAAATATTGATCGCAACATATGTACTAGTGTGCTTGATACTACTGAATGATGGATAGTTATAAGATTTATAAAAGTCCCCCAATAAAATGATTAAAACAAACAACAGCTTAGCTTAAATAAAGAAAAAGGCTGCCTTTGGCATTGTTTTTTAAAAGCTCTCTATATGGGATCAAATTAACAACAGCAACTTGAAAGATTAGAGGAACCTCAGGGGATGGTGAATTCTGTAAATGGAAGGAACACATGGGAAGAGATCAGTGAGAATGATTGCAGAGCTCCAACATTATAATCAATGTCCCTAAGTCGTACAAGTCGGTTTTAAATTGGTGTATGTTTTGTTATCTATACTCTTTATCAACTTTTTTTTTTAAAAAAAAGGTTTTTTAAGTTACTCTGCCTTTTGAAAACTCATGTATTTACTATTCTTCTATATTTACTCTCTTCTACCTTTTTTAAAAAAACACTTCAAACATGTAGCTATTTTAGGACTAAAGAATTGGCCTGCAGAAAGCAAGCTGGACTGTTTCTACTTTCTGGATAAAAAATAAGTCAATCACCAACCTATTATTTATATTTAAAAAACATACAACAGTGTGAAACTGGGTAAAAGTTGGGAACCACCACCAGTTCCTTCACCGCTTTCAGAACACAATCCTTGGGGGGAAAGGTCTCAAAAGGGTTCCTCAGGAAGCAGCTCTGCAGGTACTTCGGGCTTTGGCTACTGGCTCTACGGCGCTTATATCTGAAAGAGGATCAGCTTCCTGACACTTCAGCTGTTTTATTTCTGAAAGATCACATCTATCTGCAATATAACCAGCAACCATGCAGGACTACCAATTACAGCTTTATTCCTACAAGTCAAAAGGAAGGAATCTTTCAAGCAAATTCAGGTTGATGTGAGAGACAGAGAGAGAGAGAGAGTGTGTGTGTGTATGTACACACAATAAATTAGACATACTTTAAAAGTACCTGGTTAAAGTTTACCTAGCAATTCATTAAAACTCACTGGTTTTTTTTTTTAATGAGACAAAGCCATGCTAGAAGCAATAAATTCCATATTATCTAGAGAAATGGAGATACATGAAAAAAATCCTTACAGTGACAAATTCAGATTTAATAATACATAAGTAACAAGCAATCGCTCTGAATTTTCAAATAACAAAAACATAAAGTAGACTACCCATATTTATTTAATTATCTGGATTATATTTAACTATATTTTTTAAATTTCAGACTTCCTAAAATGGTTAGATTAGTGTATTTTAGAAGAGCCTGCACTTCCAAAATGTATTTTTTTAAATAATATATACATTATTAACATTTTTCTTAAGAGTTCTAATCATATAGGTCTAATAATAGTGTTAAATGTTCATAGATTAATGACAAGGATAGTAAAACAAAAGTCCCAAGCACCTTTTAAAACACCATTTCTACTGTAATTTTTTTTATGCATGTGCAACTAAATTGTTTTTTTTCCCCTCCAATATGTTATATAATATGGGTTCAAAATATCGGTGGTTATGAAAAGTTTACAGCATCGAGTGGATGTTGTTTTGGTGGTAGGTTGAAAAAAGCAGGCACCCAAATTTCTTCATTTTATAAAACTATTTATAGGGGTAAAACAATGGAAGGAATTTCATCAAGAGATCAATAATTGAAGTCTTAAGTAAGGGAGGACAGGGCTTGCTTTCCACTTTACCACTCTTTCTGCATGTCTCATGAGCATGACGGTTAGAAAGGCGCACATGCAGGTAACTTTAAGTGATGTTCTAGTCAAGCACAGCCTTGTCCATTTAAAGGTTGGAAAAATCAGAAATCTTCACCTCAGCAATTATTTGAATGTGACATGAGTTTCAGTAGAAACCATCAACATTTCCTTATCAAAATTATAAGGATAACCACCCTACAAAAAGATCAGAAAATAGCTTAACAGTAGTTTGTATATTGCAAATCATATATGACGTTCAATCCCATAAGAAGGGCTGCTAACACCATAGAATGCCTGTGCTTTGATAGGTAAAATAGGAAAGCAATGAGGTCTCACTTGGGAAATATGATTGATTGAAGACTCCATCCTTCGTAGCTGGGATGCCTGGATATCCAGCATCTGCAGAACATTGTTGGCCAAGGTGTTTATCAGGTAGGCCACGCTTGCTAAGGACTGGGTGGTGTAGGCTTTGGTTTCTTCTAGGGCTCGCTGCTTATCTGCTGACTAGGGAAAGAAAGAAAACACAATGCATTAACTCAAAGGTAATTCACTGCTAACAACTTATCTATAACAATATTCAGGGATTATTCTGTTCCTGAATCTACACACATAAGCATAAATGTTAAGAAAATGAATTACCATTATCACGTAGACTCAATAACGAAGTTATAACTGAGTTCAGACATATGAAATGACTATATCCAAGATGAACAGAAAGCATTTTAACACAGATTCAAATAAAGTTCATTATTTTAAAAATGTAACTCAATGGACACTTTGAGCAATGTAAGCAAGTATATAGCCTCACAAGGTAACTGAACTGTTTATAGAGAGGTAACATTCATGATTTATATGTAAGTTTTGACATATTTTTCTACTTTTCCTGAATTCCCCTTTTCCCAAACACTAAGAAGTAAAATACTTATAATGTCTGGATAAAGTAAAAAATTATAAACAAGGCAAAAGTCCTTTCTTTCCAAGAATTTTAACTATTATGCCCTTTGTAAGATACTACTGTAAAACAGACTACAGCGTAAAAAAAAAAAAAAAAAAGGTGGTGAGTGCTATTTCCAATATCACAAAACAAAGCAATGGTAAAGTCACGTATCCCATGCTGCTAACTGCCAAACACCATCATTTTGCCCACTCACTCACACTCACTGCCTCTGAGTCGATGCCTCCTCCTAGCAACCCTCGAGGACTCAGTAGAACTACCCCTGTGGGTTTCAGAGACTGTAACTCTTTATGGGAGTAGAAAGCCCCATCTTTCTCCTATGGTGGAGAAGCTGGTGGTTTTGAACTGCTGATCTTGTGGATCGCAACCCAACATCTAACCACTACTCCACCAAGGGTGCCTATCATTTTGCCCTAGTTCTGTAGAAAGACTGGTTCAGTACAAAGCCTCTGAGCACCACACCTTTTATGTGAGTGTCATTTCTACACATGTCAACTGGGAAGTAAGAGTCAGTTCCTCCATCTACTCAATTATAAAGCAGAGAAGTTAAACTTTTGCATCAACAATCTTTGCTGTTGAGAAGAGCAAGTGAGATAATGATTATCAAGCACTAAAATTACACCCCCGCTGAGTCTCTTCCAACTCATAGTGACCCTATAGGACAGAGTGGAACTGCTCCCTAGAGTGTAAGGTTGTAAAATCTCTATAATTAGAAACAGCCCCATCTTTTTCCTTCTGTGCGGCTGCTGGGTTCAAAATGGTGATCTTCATAATCTGCCCAGTTAGCCCAGGATGCTATGGGCTAAGTGCTAACTACTAACTCACACCCTCAAAAACATGGAGGGAGGATAAGGAATCGTTCTACTCTGTCCTATAGGATGTGGGAGTCCAAATCAGCTAGACCTCAGTAAGTAAAAACCCTACAGTTGAATGTACCAATATCGGAATCATTTTGACATTTGCCAAGTGTTTTATACTAGGACAGCCTAAGCAAATAATGCCCATAAACGCCAGGAATTTTAGGATTTTAAATATACTGGATGGTATCAAACTTAAACCTTGATTAAGTAATGTGTTTGTGCTGGGCTGCTAGCCACAATGTCAGTAATTCTAGCTCACTGGCTACTCTGAGGGAGAAAGATGAAGCTTTCTGCTCTTGAATAAGTTCACAGCCTCAGAAACCTTTTCTACAGGGTCACTATGAGTTGGAATCAACGTGCTAAGTGATGGCAATGAGTTGTATGAGGAAGTTCCTGGACAGTGCAAATGTTGAACTTGCTCAGTTGCTAAGCAAAGGGTTAAAAGTTCTAGTCCACCCAGAGGCACTTTGAAAGAAAGTCCCTCTGGCCAGGGTCACAGGGACACTAAAACCCCCACCTGGACCTTCCTTAACCGTATTACCCCGGGTGGTACTTTCTGCCACCACCACAGCAGCCCCCACTCTGAAGAACACAGCTCTCCTAGGTCCAGGGCACTGCAAGCAACAAGAATCTTCCACACAGGGCAGCCAAATCTTGCCCCTGTGCCATCACCCCTTCCTGAACATGGAGGGAAAGTTCACTTGAGGCTGATCCCTGAGGAATTCTTCCAGTTCTTTTATCCTAAAACTGGTGTCACAGGACCCTACATGCTCAGAACTGGGCTTATCTTTTCTATCCAAAGAAATATATGTGGTCACCCCAAAATTGTTCTCTACCATATCAACAGTAGGGGTGCTTGTCTATTAAAGTAAAACATATTTAACAAATTAAAAATTAAACAAAACTTTTAAATAATAATAAAAACCATGGTGCTTCCATTGGGCAATTTGCTGATAAATTCAATGAGCAATACTGCCAAGTTAGAAGAGGTGAGGCAGACCTCCATGAAATGTCTCCAGGACGTGACTGATCTTGGGAAGGCGCAACAGGCCCTTGTTCAGAAATGCCATTATCTTTTTGATATTCAGAGAAATAATTTCACTATGGCCTTGGAGGTTATACCAGAAACAGCTGCATGAAGTATACAAGGAGGTGAAGGATCACCTGGACAATCCTATCTCTGCAAAATATGTCATGCCGAAAGGAACTAGAGAACATGATCAACTGGATGGAGAAGAACAAAGTGCACAGCATCTCTGCAGAGCAGGAAAACGAAGCAATTATCTTGGGTGAAGGGAGACATCGGTCAGTGTAAGACATGGAAAAAATTTTTATAAATTATTAAGGGTTCATGGGGAGGGGAGCTGATACCAAGTGCTCAAGTACAAAGAAAATGTTTTGAAAATGATGGTGGCAACATATGTACAAATGTCCTTGACACATGATTGTATGTATGGATTGTGATAAGAGCTGTGCAAGCCCCAATAAAATGATTTTTAAAAAGATTGAAATTACAAAAAAAAAAAAAAACAATTACCAAGTGAATTCAAGACCTAAACCTGCTTGCAAAGAAAACTCAAACACAGGCCATTATGTAAATGTGTCTATACCAATCAAGACAGCTACATGGAAATTTGTCTGTGATAAAATCATTCTTTGGGATGTCAATTCTGCCAAAGGCACTACATAAATTCAATGCTATCCCAATACAAATACCATCATCTTTCTTCAAAAAATTGGAAAAACTGATTACCAACTTCATAGGGAGAGGGAAGAAGCCCTGAATCAGCAGAGAATTCTCAAGAAGGAGGACAAAGTTGATGGGTTTGCTTTCCCTGACTTTAGCACCTATTACAGAGCCACAGTGGTCAAAACAGTGTGGTACTGGTATAACCACAGATACTCAGACCTCTGGAAAAGAGCTGAAACATCCAGAATTAAAATCATCAGCATAAAGACAACTGATCTTTGAAAAGGGCCCCCAAAATATCAAATGGGAAGTGGATGCCCTCTGCAACAAGTGGTGCTGGAAAAAATGGAGATCTACCTGCAGAAAAATGAATCAAGTCCCTTACACACTTCATGCACAAGAATAAACGCAAGGTAGATCACAAACCTTGAGATAACACCCCAAACTTTTGGGCCCATCAATGAGAGAATTGGGACAAACCTGAGAATGAAGGCCCAGGGAACACATAAGCTATCGGAAATAGGGAAGGACACAAATGCAGAGGAGGCGCAAATGAATAAATGGGATATACTGATGATAAAACACCTGTGTACATCGAAGGACTTTACCAAGAGAGTAATAAGACAGCCCACAGACTGGGAAAACATCGTTAGCAATGACACATCAGAAAAAGACTTATTACTAAAATCAACAATACTCTGCTAACGTACAATAAGAAAAAAACCAATTGCCCATTGAGGAGGTAGGCAAAGGACCTCAACAGAAGTTTCTCAAAGGCAGAAATCCAAATGGCCAATAAACATATGAGAAAATGTTCCAAATCATTAGTCATAAGAGAAATGCAAATCAAAACAACAAGAACCACCTAACACCCTCAAAGATAGCCCAATTCAAAAATTCAGAAAGTAACAAGTGTTGGAGGGGCTGTGCTGAGATAGGAGCTCTCATCCACTGCTGATGGACCTGTAGGTATGTGCAGCCATTATGTAAATCAATTTGGCGATCTCTAAAACAGATGGAAATCGAGCTACCATATGACCCAGCAATCCCCTATTGGGCATATACCCATAAAAGGCAAGGAACAACCCACAGCCAGATATCTGTGCTCCAATGTTCATCGCAACACAGTTCACAATTGCAAGGAATTGGAAACAACCCAAATTTCCATCAACAGACGAATGGATAAAAAACTGTGTTACATACATACACTGGAGTACCACACATCCCTAAAGAGCAGTGATGAACACATGAAGCACATCAGCACATGGGAAGAGTTGGAGGGAATTATGCTAAGTGAAGTAAGTCAAGCACAAAAGGTCAAGTACAACATGAGTACACTGAGGTAAGCTTAAAAAATGCAAAAGGGGCATAAGGGAAACACTACTATATATCTACATTCCTGGGGCGAAGTCCAGGAACTATGGCAGGGGCCAAACCCAACCCAGGGATACATATGGCAGCCAACTAAAAAGGAGGGGGAAAGAAAAAAAGACAGGGTAGCAGAGAAAAAGGGCACTAACCCACCCAAAGGGAGGGTATTGTTTATATCTCCACAGGAGGAGGAGAGAGGGACCAGACTTCAACCTAGTGCGCCAAGAACCAGACTTCAACCTGGTACTCCATACTAGCATGAAGCAGGGAACCAATAGAGAGGTCTGTAGGGCTGGACCCAACCCAAACTAGGTAGACCCCACCCCACCCCCCAACGAATGCACTTCAGAGGATAGCACTAAAGCTGCAGCTCAGGGAGAGGGGCACTTCTGATCAGGAATAAATGAAGAGGGAAGGTGAGAGAGTGGAGCACATCTTGGCCTACCAAGCCCCAGGACTATATTCTGGCTCACAGCAGCCAATGCACAGAGAGGACCATAGGGCCAGTCCACCCACAAGACAGGATGTCCCTCACTGACCTATAGCACTACGGGGCCAACACTGGAAACAGTGCGGAAGTTATGCCCGATCTGACCCCACCACACCAGGGTGAAACACTAACAGCTTG